TCTACCTGATCTCGTAAAATCAAACTTCAAGGTGACGTTTTTCTTATGATGTGCGAGGATTGAAAGAAACATGGCAACTTGTTCACTCGGTGCAACGTTTCTAGATTGAACAAGACCCCCTAAATTTTCAAGGAGAAAACAAAGGCGACCAAAACAATTCCTGTCCATACGGAGGTTCTCAAGACAAGTGGTGTCGCTAACGTCGACTAGCCTCTGCATATGACTCACTTGAAGGGGCACTCTATCCCTCAATCGGTATGTGAGTCCGCTAGTCAACGAAGGTCGACGGCGGCGAGGGAGTATGAATTTGTGATAGTAGTAACTAGCTACTATGAAAAAAAATCGAGCACCAAGAACAATCTCTTCCAAAAGATTGAGAATTAGTAACTTGTCTCGCACGTTATCCATCTACAAATATTGAAAAACATACGTACTTGAATAAAATTGGTGCACATACTAAACAACCAAATACTTCGACAAAAAAATCAAATGAAGGCCAAAACAACATTAAACATGCTCTTTTATTTCTTCAGCACTCATAAGCTCTGACACATAATTTTAGCAAGACACCACAAGGAAATTAACACTTCAGTCATGATCCACAAGGTCCTTAACATGTCAACAATCAATTTGATGGAAAAAAACTTAAAAGAATTAGTTTACTTGAATTTTGATTAGAGGAAATTACCTTACGGCCTCACGGAAATTCGAATAGTAGAATGGCTTCCTCCCCTAGTCGTGCTCGTCGCAGCCGAACTGAAGTACAACACGGCCCATTTTCATAAAAACAATAATGTTAAAGCAGGCCAAATCATGAATAAAATATAATGTTGTAGTAGATGAAGAAATTATTGAGATAAGAACCATTTGTTCGCTCGTACCTTTCTTTTGAGTAAGCACACAGAATATATAAATGGGACATTACAAAAGGAGGGAAAAAAAAGACAGAAAAATAAAATATCAAAAGTGAGGCCCTTAACTTCTGGAAAAAATTAGTCCACCACAGCACAGACAACACACATTCACATATTAAAAAAGGTATTACTCAAACAATACAAAAAAATAAAAAAGAACAATCAAATTAGAAAGCAACAATGTTCAGCTTTGCATTAAAATGCTGTCATTTGTACATATGTGTCTACATGACACAACAGCTCAAAAAACAAAAATCAGCTTGCATATGATATGGTTGCTCATATCAGTAACATAACAAAAAGACTGTACCACAACCAACACAAATATGTACATCAGATGACAAATTATACAGCTGAACTCATATGACAAATTATACAGCTGAAATAGTGAAAGTAGATTGTACCACAACCAACACAAATACAGCCGACCACATAACACTGCATCTCTCTCCACATAAACATATAACCAATGGATGCAAGATTTTTAACAAGGTGTAATGCTCACAGCTACTTGCCAACTAGAAATGTGGGTGTATTAAGTAGTGAAGAGAAACAAACAATCCAAAAAAAAAAAAAAACGAACAATCAAATTAGAAAGCAACAATGTGACAAGATATAAATGCAGTGAATCAACAATGAGGTGAGGATAGTTGAGGTGTACATAGATAATTAGATATAGGGTAATCAGATGTACCAGATGTGCTATGAGATATGTAGTTAAAGGACAAATTGGATGAAACAGAGTTTGAAGAAGGTATGAGGTGAGGATAGCTTTGTGAATTTTCTTCTGGGCTGAAGATTGTTTGCAGGGATGATATCATTTTTGTTCATATAGTGTGATTCTCTGTGTGGAGGAACTGGGATGTCATAAGGGGAAAAGGTTGAGGATCATGGAACATAGTAGAGGATTCTATAGGTTTTGCTTCATAGGAAAAACATTCCCATTGAAAAGCACATTTCTAGAAATGAATGTTCTCTTGGTTTCCAGGTTATAAAGTTTATAAAGTTTATAACCAAGAGGATAACCAATGAGTATGCATTTAGATACTATGGGTTCAAATATGTAACACTGCATATCTCTCAACATAAACATATAACCAATGGATGCAAGATTTTTAGCAAGGTGTAAAGCTCACAGCTACTTACCAACTGGAAATGGAGGTGTGTTGAGTAGAGAAGAGAACCAAACAATCCAAAAAAATAAAAAAATTAACAATCAAAGTAGAAAGCAACAATGTTCAGCTTTGCATTAAAATACTGTCATTTGTACATATGTTTCTACATGACACAACAGCTCAAAAAATAGAAATCAGCTTGCATATGATATGGTTGCTCATATCAGTAACATAACAAAAAGACTGTACCACAACCAACACAAATATGTACAGCAGATGACAAATTATACAGCTGAACTCATATGACAAATTATACAGCTGAAATAGTGAAAGTAGACTGTACCACAACCAACACAAATACAGTTGACCACATAACACTGCATCTCTCTCCACATAAACATATAACCAATGGATGCAAGATTTTTAACAAGGTGTAATGCTTACAGCTACTTGCCAACTGGAAATGTGGTGTATTAAGTAGTGAAGAGAAANNAAAAAAAAAAAAAAAAAAAAAAAAAAAAAGAACAATCAAATTAGAAAGCAACAATGTTACAAGATATAAATGCAGTGAATAAACTATGAGGTGAGGATAGTTGAGATGTACAGAGATAATTAGATATAGGGTAATCAGATGTACCATATGTGCTATGAGATATGTAGTTAAAGGAGAAATTGGATGAAACAGAGTTTGAAGAAGGTATGAGGTGAGGATAGCTTTGTGAATTTTCTTCTGGGCTGAAGATTGTTTGCAGGGATGATATCATTTTTGTTCATATAGTGTAATTCTCTGTGTGGAGGAACTGAGATGTCACAAGGGGAAAAGGTTGAGGATCATGGAACAGAGTAGAGGATTCTGTAGATTTAGCTTCATAGGAAAAACATTCTCATTGAAAAGCACATTTCTAGAAATGAATGTTCTCTTGGTTTCCAGGTTATAAAGTTTATAGAGTTTATAACCAAGAGGATAACCAATGAGTATGCATTTAGATACTATTGGTTCAAATATGTAACACTGTATATCTCTCAACATAAACATATAACTAATGGGCTCACAGCTACTTACCAACTGGAAATGGAGGTGTGTTGAGTAGAGAAGAGAACCAAACAATCCAAAAAAAAAAAAAAAGAACAATCAAATTAGAAAGCAACAATGTTCAGCTTTGCATTAAAATACTGTCATTTGTACATATGATTCTACATGACACAACAGCTCAAAAAACAGAAATCAGCTTGCATATGATTTGGTTGCACATATCAGTAACATAACAAAAAGACTGTACCACAACCAACACAAATATGTACACCAGATGACAAATAATACAGCTGAACTCATATCACAAATTATATAGCAGAAATAGTGAAAGTAGATTGTACCACAACCAACACAAGTACATGAACCATATAACACTGCATCTCTCTCCACATAAACATATAACCAATGGATACAAGATTTTTAACAATGTGTAAAGCTCACAGCTACTTGCCAACTAGAAATGGGGGTGTATTCAGTAGAGAAGAAAACCAAACAATCCAAAAAAATTAAATAAGAACAATCAAATTAGAAAGCAACAATGTTCAACTTAGCATTAATATACTGTCCTTTGTACATATGAGATAAGTTTGACACAACAGCTCAAAACACATATTTCAGCTTTTGGCATATGATCTTGATGCTCATATCAGTAACATAACAAACACAATTCAAACAAACAAATCAAATCACAACTGAACTCACATGACAAATTATACAGCTGAAATAGTTAAAAAAAAAAAAAGCTGTACCACCCACAACCAACACAAATACATGAACCACATAACACTGCATATTTCTCAACGTAAACATATAACAATGGATGCAAGATTTTTAACAAGAAGTAAAGCATAATGAAGGTTCAATTACCTGACAAGTTTCTACCAGTACAATAGAATGTAGTCAAAAATCATATAGCACTACACAGAAGGCCCTTAAGCAGACCACCTTATACCTGTGACTGACTTGGTTCAATTTTTTATGCCATCCTTTTTTTTTGCTTGTAGCTGTGAACTAAATTAAATATTACATGGTAACAAACACAGTGAAAAAATTAAGCAAATCACAATGAACTAATATCTCACCTAATAACACAGTGAATGCCTCCCAGACAAACAATTGACCAATCGATGCAATAAAATTACCAACAAACTAAGCAATTGGCAGAAGGTTAAGGTGTTTACCGGTCACGGAGAAAAACTCGTTGCTGTTGCCGACTGGAAACTGAAGTGTATTTCGTCGGCAGAGACACAAACATTGGGGAAAAACAACCATGTATAAATAAAATGAATTAACAATCCAAATCGATGGGCGAATGGAGAATCGAATTTCAAATGGTAATCTGGCGAGTCTGGAACTAACCTTTAGACGCGACGGAGAATCCAAAGCTAGGGCAAATTACTCGTCTTCGTGTCTGCAGAACCTAGGGCAAATTGCTCGTCTTCAAATTTGGGTCGCCGAATGTTGGGAGAAATCGAATGAAATCGAAATAAAAAAAAAACGAAAGTACAAACAAGAGACGAGCTCACCTTACGAACGACAAGCTTGAACTTCTTCCCAACAATGGCGTCGCTTCTCTCTGCACTGCACCTAGGGCAAATGTCGATTTTTGCCTTTTATGTGTAATAAATCTGTAAATTCACCGAAAATAAGGGGTATTTTTGTCCAATTATACCAAAATATGAGGGTAAAATAGGTAGGATAAAAACGGGATTAAATTGTCACGTGGGGGAGCCGGGATTTTTTTGTCCGAAATTAGCCGATAACTGCGTGCCACATGGACGCCAGGTCGGCCTAATCATATCTCAATCCCGCGGAGTAAACGTGAGATAGCCGGGATTGTTTCCCTTATCCTATCCCAATCTCGCGAAGTAAACGACCCCTTATTATATTGTCACTCTCAGACTCCCCCACGCAATGACGCAACACAAGCTGTGTTGAATGGGGATGGGAAAGAGCATCAGGGAAGTCGGGTTGGTAGATTTGTTGGGAGCTGGGCTTGAGCTTCAACAAGCTAAAGAGTTGGAAAGGGAGCTCAAAGATAGTTATGGGCTGGAAGGCAAGGAGCTATGGCGTTCGATAATGGATCGCAAGCTCTTGAAGCCGTGGGACCCACATTCCCTTCATCAGCTCGTCTACTACGCGGTCTACTCTAATTACGATGAATCTCTCCATGGACCTCCGCCCTATTGGTTCCCATCCCTGTAAGTCGTAACCATTGTGTGTGTGTGTGTGTGTGTGTGTTTGTGTGTGTGTGTGTTTGTGTGTGGATTTGGTCACTGCCATCTTTGAGTTCAGCCCTTTTATTGTTATTTATTCTCACAGATTTCAATTTTCTGCTTGATTATTCTTTCAGGATATTTTAGGTAAGCAGTTTATGATATGAAAAAAAATAAATAAAAAAAAGGGAAAATTAAGCATTTGGGAAGCATCAAGAATCCTGTGTTTTTAGCCAAGAATTTTCACAACGGCTTCTCACTGCTTCTGTAGCTTGTCTAAAGTGGATTTGTTGAAAGTAATGTGGGTGTTGTGTATTCATACAAAAAATCTGACTTTTAGGTGCTATATATGTTTTTCAGAGAGAGTGGAAAATAGTTAGTTTATTTGTCTTGATGTGGTTATTTACAGGTTATTCTTAATGATCCTTGAGGAATGACCTAGAATTCATAAAATCTGACCCTTTTTTGGTGATTGTTTCTTATGCTTGTAATTTTCTTTGTCAGAAATCAGTCGAAAAACACAAATTTGGGGCGTCTTATGGAATCTCACTGTCCTAAGCTACTTGGGGAATCATACAGAGACCCTATAACAAGTTTCAAACAATTTCATCAGTTTTCAGTTCAGCATCCTGAGGCAAGTGTTGTTGTTGTTGTTGTTGTTGTTTTTTTGGTCTTTTTCTTTTCGTATCCTACAAAAATTTGCATTTTCTGATTTCATATTGATAAACAACTTGATTTATTATTTTTGTAATAGATATATTGGCAACTTATACTGAATGAGCTCTCAGTTCAATTTCTCGTGCCGCCAAAATGTATTCTCGACACTTCCAATGAATCCAAGAAGGGAGCAACGTGGCTGCCTGGTGCAGTTTTGAATATTGCCCACTGTTGTCTGCACTCGAGCGATTTATTGAAAAAGCATGATGATAGCTTGGCAATTGTTTGGAGGAATGAAGACCGCGATGATGAAAATGTGGAGCATATGACGTTAAAAGAGCTGCGAGAACAAGTAATGTATGCCCCAAATCATCTAAACTTCATGTTATAATCTGTGATTTTCGCATGGTATCACAGTGAATTTTCGTAGAGGAAAAATCACCTAAGATGATGTTTGTAGATTTCCGGGCACTTGTTAGGGTGTGTAATGCATGATAATTTGAAAGGGTATAAAACATTGAATATGGCTGTGAATATCAAATCAACCAGAAGATGGAATCAGGAATCTATAGCACCCAACCCACTTTGCTTCTTGATTCTGATTAAATTGTACCGATGTAGAAGATGACATCTGATAGCACTATTAAAATTTTCATTTTTTCCGGCCAAAACCTACAATCACCTTTTTTGCCCTTTAATGTTTGCATATGCTTCCTAAGTTACTATATTGATTGATGCTTGACTATATCAAACGACTTTTCAAATGAATTTATTCTTAGTTAGTCAGAAATATACCTTTTACCTGCATGTCTAATCTATTCTTGAAAATCAATACATGGACATGTGTTTGCTAGGTTGGTAGCAAATGCACTGGAATCAGCATTTTCTCGAGGAGATGCAATTGCCATCGACATGCCCATGACAACGACAGCTGTTATTATATACTTGGCGATTGTGCTTTCCGGGCTTGTTGTTGTTTCAATTGCAGACAGCTTTGCACCTCAAGAAATAGCTACCCGTTTGCGCGTGTCGAAAGCTGAAGCAATTTTCACACAGGTGACTGCAAAATTTTGCGTGTGTGTTTGTTTTGTTTTTCCATTAAGTGTGTACAGTACAAAAAAAAAAAAAAATTATAATTCTATTGTTTGGATGTTTTACAAATGATGAAAAGGCCTGTGTTGTCCAAAGCTAGCAGATAATTTAAGACGTATGCATTCAGTGACTAGAGAATTGATATTTCAGAACTTTCTTGCATAGAATATACTCTGTTCTTATCCTGGAATTTCCTAACTTCATACAAAATCAGGATTTTATTCTACGAGGAGGACGGAGATTTCCTTTATACAGGTAGTACCTGCATTTGTAGAGAACAGTAATAGTTAAATGGAATGATCTTTATATATTCCAACATTCTTATGTCTCAAATGCAGTCGAGTGGTAGAAGCCGGCCCAGATAAAATTATTGTCATACCATCAACTGGTATAGATGTAGCTGTTCAATTAAGAAATCAAGATTTGTCTTGGAAAGCTTTTCTGGAAAGTGCATATCGCCTGCCGAGGTAACATGAGGATTTTAGTTAACAGCTGATGAACAACTTATTTCGAATCTTTCAGTACAAAATTGCATGATTTAAGAAAACATTCGATTTCGCAGAAGTAATTACTATTCACCAGTTTACCAGCCTGTTGATGCCATCACCAATATCTTATTTTCTTCTGGTACTACAGGTCAGTTATCTTTTATCTTAATCTCGTTCCATTAAGCTTCCTATGTGAATTTTTTTAAAGGATGATTACAAAATATATCCCCCACACTGATATAGTAATTTGGGCTTTTTTTTAAAGATTTTAATTCCCCTTTAATTCACGAGTTGCATTTTCCAACTTATGTTACTATTAAAAATTCACATTCGAAGATGGTAACAAATATCGATGCTGAGGCATTTAAAGTGTTGAGAATAACTAGGATTATTATTATTATTATTATTTTTTTTGGTAATTAGTCAATTTAAATGGTACTTATGATAGTTTTACTCATTGTGTTTTATGCTCATGAAATGACATGTTTATAGGAGAGCCGAAAGCCATACCGTGGTCGCAACTTTCCCCTATTCGCTGTGCGGCTGATTCATGGGCACATCTTGATGTTAAATCTGGGGATATTTTCTGCTGGCCAACAAATTTAGGATGGGTTATGGGTCCAATATTACTATACTCGTGTTTTCTATCCGGTGCAACTCTAGCTCTTTATCATGGCTCCCCTCTAGGCCGTGGTTTTGGAAAATTTGTTCAGGTAATAGTTTATTAAGCTTAGGTAGCAACAAATCCATTTCTTCTACATCCTTCAGTTGCAAGTTCTCTTCTGTTAATTTCTCATATTATTGAGTTGTTTTTGTTGTCATCAAAGAAAACTGGATTTTTCTTAGTTAATCGAAACCTTGGTAGCTTTATTTTCTGAGACTATGCTTAAGATTTATTATACTCTTACTTGCCAGGATGCAGGAATTACTATTTTAGGAACTGTTCCTAGCTTAGTGAAGACCTGGAAGAGCACACGTTGCATGGAAGGTCTTGATTGGACAAAAATAAAGTATTCTACATCTGATATCACAATAAAATAGTATTTCCATATATTATTCTTTATTTCTAGTTTTATTTTTGTAAACATTGACTAAAAACCCAACAGGACATTTGCATCTACTGGTGAAGCCTCGAGCGTTGATGATGACCTGTGGCTGTCCTCAACATCCTTTTATAAGCCGGTTATCGAGTGTTGTGGGGGAACAGAACTCGCGTCCTCTTATATTCAGGGGAATTTTCTGCAACCTCAGGCATTCGGAACTTTTAGCTCCGCCTCCATGGGCACAGGCTTTGTTATTTTAAACGAAAATGGTGTTCCTTATGTAAGAATTTTCTTGTCCATGCTTATTTTCTTGACCTGATTTGATTTCTTGTTGACAATAACTGATTTCAACTTAAGCTGGCTGGTAAATTGCAAGAAAATGTCTTTTTTGAGGAAAAAAAACTTACGGATGTCAAATTAAAATACCCCTTTGAGGGTTGTAATCTTTTCACAAATTACGTCCTTTGGCTGTTAATTACGTCCTTGTGTTTTTCAATGGTTCCGGCTTCTGGGCATTTTTTTTTGTCTGTTCCTTTGCATTTTGCTTTTTCTCTGTTGGGTTTTGGGTTTTCTTTTTACTCTTTTTTGTTTTGTTGTAAAATATGCTAAATCACAAGTGTGTAGTTCTAATTTCCCTACAAGTAAAATATCGTGCTATGAGGATATCTTGCTCATATATATACCGTCAGGTAGTTAAGATGTGTGATGGTCTGATGCTTTTTGCCAAAGATTATCGCCTTTTGGGCAATATTTTTGAACGGTCAGTGTACTTATCGGTTTTAGCCAGATGATCAACCTTGTGTTGGTGAAGTTGGCTTACTTCCACTCTACATGGGTGCGACTGACAGATTACTGAATGCTGACCATGACGAGGTTTACTTCGAGGGTATGCCGATGTACAAAGGAAGGGTAAGCTTTTCTGTCATATTTAAGATTTTCCGGTTTATGTTGTCAATCTTACTGTTGCTGATCATATTCAACTTTTCTTTACCTATCTTCAACTAGAGGCACGGGCATATAATATGAAAACGTTGGGACTTAGAAAATACTATTTGATGATATACCTTTATGACAAAGATTCTAGCTCTACTTTAGAACTTGTAAATACCCCTTTCATATCTATGTTTCTATGTAGCAAAATAGCACACCCACTGAGGGGAAACTAAAAATCACAGGGGAATCTTTATGTTTTACATCTTACAGCAACTAAGGAGACATGGTGACATAGTGAAGAGAAGTGTGGGTGGGTATCTAATGGTGCAGGGTAGAGCGGACGATACCATGAACCTTGGAGGCATTAAGGTATTATTAAATTCTCGTGTACTTTCCCAAGTTGGGACTTTTGAGAACTAAGTTTATATCTTTGTTTAACAAAAAAAATATACAGACAAGTTCGGTGGAAATCGAGCGAGTGTGCAACTGTGCGGATGAAAGCGTCCTGGAAACGGCTGCCATAAGTATTGCGCCACCAAATGGTGGGCCCGAGCAGTTGACTGTATTTGTTGTGCTCAAGAAAGGGTCGAGCATCAAGCCAGATACGCTGAAGATGAAATTCTCAAGAGCCATTCAGACCAACCTCAACCCTTTGTTCAAGGTTTTGATATATTTTACTAGAAAGATGCTATTAAAAAAGTTTATTTATTTATTTTTTATTTTTTTATGTTTTAATTTGAAATGAGCAGGTGGGCTTTGTGAAGCTAGTCCCGGAATTTCCGAGAACAGCATCAAACAAACTGCTGAGGAGAGTGTTGAGAGATGAGTTGAAGAAGGAGCTTCTAATTCAGAGTAAAATTTAGTATGTGCTGAGGAGAGTGTTGAGAGATCAGTTGAAGGAGCTTCAAATGCAGAGTATAATTTAGTTTCATGGGGGTTTTATTTCCTTTATCTGTTGGGTGGAAACATTGGGAATATTGGGAAGAGTAATGCTATAGGTACATAATGTTGTACATAGAGGTGTACATAACACTCACATTGAGTGGGACCCACTAAAATTAAAAAATCAAGTGGACCCTACTCTATGTGAGTGTTATGTATATCTTTATGTACATTTATTATGTACATGTAGCATTTTTCTATTGGGAAAGCATGTTTTAGCTTCTTTGTTTTGCAATTTGGTTTGAGAGGAATTCCTTGTTCATTCTGAAGAGATACTTGTTGTTATTGCCAGAGGCTTAATGAATTTATTGTCTCGAATGCTTTGTTTCTCCTCTCTCTATATATTAATTCAGAACATACTGAGTCTAAGTGGTAGGCTCGCTTATTTCGTAATCCTATGCGGCAAAATTGCATGCTTCGGTAGGCTTTGATAGATTTTAATTTATTTCCAATCCAAAAATAATTAGGTCCGGATTATCCATAAATATGTTAATTATTTATGGTCATGTTACATATATTAATTGCATTTTAATATTGTTGTTGTGTGATTATTAACAACGATTTTATATGATATTAGCAAGGTGTTTAGATCAATTAGAACGTAAAGCATGCATCTAAACGAGAACGATGACCCCGGTCCGAGGTAAACCGACGTGAAAGCTGTGTGGGATTTTTTGTATATATCAATGTTCAGGATTCGATCCTTGTACAAGAATAAGAACCTACTATTTATAGTATCTTTTTGGGACCCTGTTTTGAGGTGTACGATTACTTTTCATAAAGTGACTTTTTGGTGAGCGGCCATGAGAGTGGGACCCACGGAAATGATGAAGTAACTTGTGGTGTATGAGGGTGTCCATATGCGCCTTGTCACCTGCTTTGATTTTGGTGACCTCGGTTATGGGCTACGAGTCGGTGATCTCGGAGGAACGTCGAATGAACCACGCTATTCGGTGAATCGGCAGTAACTCGAATGGAGCTGAAACTCGGTCTAACTTCAAACCGGAGTGGGGGGAGTTTGGATAATACCGTTAATGATCCTTTGAGTATGTAAAATCATAGCTAATGCAGGTTACCGGTCGGATGATAACAGAGGGGCCCCCGGTGTTAGCGGTCGTACGATAGTGATGATCGCTGACAACATAAAGATTAGAAAATCCGAACTGCAGAGATATTTGATGTAGAATGCCAACGTGTTTCGTGTAAAACCATGCTTTTCTTAAATTTAATTTATTTTAATAAAAAAACAATTGTATTTGTATACTTCGTCAAAATAATATATAGAATAAAAAATAATTAAAAAAAATAAATATTAAAAAATTTGTAGCAAGATGAATATTATCACACGCTAGATGTAGCGTGGTAATGTTCATATCTTTAGATAAGTGCAAAATATAGGGCAACATTGGAGCGAGAGTGTTGAGCAAATCTGAAGTTGAGTATCACCGTGCCGCAACATTGGACTTGCTCTAACCATGCCTACGCCAAATCGAATATTTAGACTCGTACGTAGTATCACATACACTAGGCTCTCTATTGTCAAAGCATAAAGAATTACTTTAAAACATATATTTTTAGACTATCTTTATCCATGACCTCTTGTGTTGGGTCATGTGATAAAGAAAAAACAAAAAGAACCAAAAATCATCATGGATGGTGACCTAGGTCATTTTTTATAACCTTGGGTCACAACTCAACTGTGGAATGAAATTGGTCACTTGTCTCATTTTTATTGGTATTTTTATTATTAATTTATATTAAATAAAAAAATAAAAATATTATTTTTTTGTATTTTTTTATTCTTTATAAATAGATACCACATTAACACTACTGTAATTTTTAAATAAAATAAATATTAAAGTTGCGTTGAGTTTTTGATAAAGATAAGTTGTAAAAGTTCGGGTTGTGGAGGTGGATGAAAGAGAAATAATTTTTAATTATTGGGTAGGTTTAAGTTGGGTTAGTAATAAAGATAGTCTTAGTTCCGTATCTGGCTGCTAATTATATTTTTTACTTAGTTAATCGAAAACAAGGGAGATGTTACGGTACCGTTACAAAATCATTTCATCGATGTCT